GGCTGGGGAATTCTGGGAGTTGAAGTCCACCCGTCTTAAAGTTGCCAAGGTTGAGAAACACCGGTCTAAGAATTCTTGCTCCAGCCATGGCATTGAGCTAGAAGACCTCAAGGTCCCTTCCAGCCCTATGATTCTATGAAATTATTTGCAGCCAAATTTTGGGTGCAGTTCTTCTGTGGAGCTCAATTAGGCCCATATTCTAACTTTACTGGAATCAGGGCTGCTCTCCAAGTGCTCCAGATCCCCAGATGTGTGCCAAAAGCACTCTGGGCTGCCTTAGGGTGGAGAATCAGGCTTGACTGAGGTCTTGAGTTCCTAGTTAAAACTAAACTTTTCTTCAGTGGGCTTGGCTCTCGTAATAATTCTTAAGAAACATCAGTCAGTCTGGAAGAAAGCTTTATCAGGCAAACTGATGACCTAACGCATTTTATCAGAGCTCTTGCTATCAGTACAAAAAACAGCAAGTTCTGGAAGTAGAAATTCAAAATAATACACATTTTGTTTCCAATGGCTTCAATTACTGCCATAAGTGTCTGGTGGAAATCACAATGACAACAAAATAACATGATATGCATCATGACACCATCATGCAAATAAGGCAAGTATTCTGCATCGTGATGCATAACATATCACTTGCCCCCCTTGCAGATACCCATGGATATTGGAGTTTGGATATGGATATGGAGGTGGCTAATTACCTGACAAATCCTGCAATTGCCTAGAAAATGCAGAGACTTCTCTAGAGCCTGTATTAGCTACTGCCATCTGCCTCACTAGAGGGACAGTTTAATAAGATTCTTATAAGGTACGCGTGTACTCTTATGGATCAGGTGCAACTAAAACAACTAGCCACATCTTGTAGTATTTCCCGATTTCAGATGTGTGGACTTCAACTCCCAGAATTCCCCAGCCAGCATGGCTGGCTGCAGAATTCTGGGAATTAAAGTCCACACATTTTAAAGTTGCTGAGGTTGAGAAACAGTCTTAGAAATACTGTGATTCTTATATGGGCATCTGAAATAAGCTTATCTCGCTTGATTTATCGAAGTGTCCATCTTGTCCAAATAACCATTGTATCTCCCTTCTACTATCTGATAGGACTTGAAATATTGCACACGGTGTAGCCAAATTCTGACCTAGGATATGTCAAGCCTGACATGAGTTAATACCTTTACTAATCTAAAGAATCATTTGCCTTCTGGATCCTTATGATGTTGCTACACAGTACTGGTTTTGTTTTAATTTGTGCTGCTGGTCTTTTGCCTGTAATAAAGTTTCCTCCAAGCCGAGGTACAGAGGTAAGAGAGCGAGCTAATAACGTACCTCTATTTCTGCATTTTCCTCCTGATTTTAATGGCGAAGCAAGGCCGACACATGCCTCATTAACCACATTTACCAGGTCAAAAACCCTGTCGACTTATATTTTACAGAGATCCGCTAAAAAAAAGAAAACACACAAGAGTCCTAACACTGTATCCCAAACTTTCCTGCCACGAAACCCTGATTCCGACCGCTCCCGCGCAGCCTGTTTCAAAGCACATGCTCAGCGGGTTCCTTTGGCTTCACTGTAAACCTCTCCCAACCCCGCGTGGCCTCCGCAGCGCAGCGCAGAGCTTAGCAAACAGCTGCTGACCGGGACTCGAGCGAGCAAAACGTTTAACGTGCTACAGGGGGCCTGACCGCAAGCCGAACCCAGCGCCGCGCCACGACCGGTTGGCCAGTGACGCTGGCGCTGCCGTTCTACCCTTTTCCTATCTCTATGCTCTCTTCCCCTTGGCGTGTGACGAAGCCAGCGGCAGAGCCCTGCCAGTGCCAGTCCTGGCCTCGTGACCGGATGTTTGGAGTCGCTGTTTATACTTTCGAGGCGCCGGCGCTGAGGAGTTCTCCGTCGGCGGCCCCTTTCTCTATGGGCTTCCCCAGAGCTGAGATAGGACCCGCGGCAGGAAATAGGTGAGGGGCGCCTGTCGGTCATTCTGTCTGCCTTCCAGGGTCCGTGTCACAAGGGTAGCTGGAGTGACAATCCTCTCTTCTTTAAAAAAAATCGCAATAAATGACATTTATTTGATGCTCCGAACTCAGAAGCAGGGTGCATCTCCTTGCGAGAGTGTTTAGCCATATAGGCTGTATGCGGACTGGGATGAAGAGAAAACAGGTATTCCCACTCCATTGATCAGAAACCCAAAAGTTTGCACGGCAGTGGGGGAGCGTTCCTACTTCAAGATTTAAAAAAAAAAAAAAGCCAACGTTCCCGGTTCTGGTGCTGCATTAAAAATAAAAAGGTATCTTCGGCGACGAAGCCTTGCCAAGCTTCATATCCTCAAAATGTATGGGACTACAGTACAGCAGTCATCATCCCTGCATGCATTGGGAAGGTAGGACAATCTGAGACAAAGCTGGGGATCCAATTGTGAAAGCCAGATTAAAGTATTGGGGGGGGGGGTGTTCTGCTACTCTTCTTATATGGCGAAGCATTCACTTAAGGGTCAGATTAGATGCAGCTTGGAGCTTCATGTTTGGTGCTATCTATCTATCTATCTATCTATCTATCTATCTATCTATCTATCTGCAAAAACAGCTTCTGTGGATGGCTGATTTGGATTGTGACTGCAGAGGGAGGGGGAGACGGGTGTAATCCATTGCTGAATGGTGAAAACAAGCAGCAAAAGATGAACATAGCAAATGAGTATCTAGAGACAGTTGACCCAGTTAAACAGCAGCACCTAGCTGACCTTCACTGATTTCCAAAAGTTAAGTGGGGTTAGAAATGTGTTACTACTTAGATGAGAGAAACCAAGAAATCCTACACTGGGAAGCCCGCCTCCCCCAAATCCTCAGAAAAAGACAACTGCAAAATCATTCACCTATTGTACCAAGAAAATTGCTGAGATGTGTCTGTGAAGTCAGGCAGAATCCAACTTTGATTAGAAAGCTAATTTATCTTAGAGGTCCTTTCTGAACGGAGTTAAGCATTCGCACTTCTGTTAAGACCCAATTCAAGTGTTCAGTTCTCTTTCTCTTCAACTTTGTTCCCTTCCTCTTCTTTCCACTTGTTCCACCACCACCACTGCCACCTAAATTTTCTGAAACTGTTCTGGAGGACTCAAAACTAGGATTCCAAATTCTCAGCTTTAGCAGTTTTTGAACCTGGGATTGCTCAGTGAGTAGACAGACTCTCTTAAATATCGATTATCTATTTTGAAATCATGGTGTTAATATCCACTGCAGGGAAGTACTTGTCACTTTTAACTTGCTGCAGTAACAGGTTCAAAAGTCATGGCATTCCATCAAACAGCCAAGGTACTCTAAAATGCATCTTAAAATCCTTTGTAATCATAGTAATTGATTATTAATTATCAATAGTTATTGATTACAGAACATGGAAAAGATTCAAAGCTCTCTGGAGTTCTCATGATAAGAGAAATGAAGAAACTGAAGCTCCCCCCATGATCTTCCCCTTTCTTCCACTGAGAGCAAATAAATACATCAGGTTAACATAAATGTGCTTAGACATATGCATATACAGTGGTACCTCGGTTCACGAACTTGATTCGTTCCGTGACTCTGGTCGCCACCCGAATTGGTCGCGACCCGAATCAAATTTTCCCATAAGGTTCAATGTAAAAACGGTTAATCCGTTCTGACCCCTCCGAATTTGGTCGCAACCCGATTTTGGTCGCGTCCCGAATCAAATTTCCCCATAAGATTCAATGTAATTACGGTTAATCCATTCTGAACCATATGTATTTTTTTTTTAAACCGCAAAA